TTTTTTTTTTTTTTTTTTTTTTTTTTTTGTGGTACCGGGGATCGAACTTAGGCCCTTAGGCTTGTGAGACAGGCAGCAAAACCACTGAGCTAAATCCCCACCCAAAGCTATTTTCTTTTAAAGCACATAAAGGCCCTGGTCAGCTGGTATGCTTCTGACTCTTTCATAAACACTATTGTATAGGCTAATTTAATTAGAAATAGAACAAGAATGAATGGATATTTGCAACTCATTTCAAGAATCCAATTATTTTGATTTCGTTGAGGAGCCAGACTTAGATAAAGCCATAGAAAAAATTTTGGCACCTGTGCCAGAAAATTTCAGGATGAAAATTAATACTGCCCAGTTACTTTGAGACCAATTAGCTTAGCCAAAGCAGGGGGAAACATTCCATAAGGAGCACACGATCCTAAACCTTACATTTCTCAAGACAGAAGTTCAGGCAGACGTCTTTGAGGCCCCGGCATGGGTGGAAGGATACAAGATATTTTAAACTTGAAACTACAGAAAGAATGAGCTTGAGGGTCATTACCAATAAAGAATAAGCATTAAATTTCAACGGAGGCAACTTGGGATGGATAACAATAAAAGAGGGGCTTATTTTATTTTCAAAGCAAGTAGAAAAAATTTTTACCCTGCACTTTTGAGTACCTAGATTTAACCTAATTTATTAACACTGTTTATCAACTCTGTTCATTTTTCAGAGAATGTGGTCAAGATGATGCTTCTCAGAAAATTTGTAGTTTTTAATAGAGGCCCATCAAATTGGAGGGGAGACTCTCCCCACAATTCACCTACATCTGCCAGGGGGAGGGCACTCAAAGAGATGCCCCTGATAACAGCAGAAGGGAGGTCAGGGAGCCCAACCCATTTGGAAAGGCACTTTAAGGACAAAACCTCTGCCTACCAAGAATCAGGAGTTTTAAAAGCCCAGGTTAAATTACTGGGTGTGAGAAGACTTAAAAGGACACCCACAAGGAAATCTGCTGTCACACACAGTATACTTGTTAGCATGACTATGACAGCATCTCAGAGACTACTAAAAAGGGAGCCGCCATCACTACAGTTTGAAGATGGATCAGCCGGTTCCCATTACAAGGGGCAGCAGAGCAGCTCTATTTTTAGAGCAGCTGGAAAGATCAAAGCAGAAGGGGCCCTTTATTGGCTCCCTATCTGGGTCCCTAATCTCTGTTTACTTTTTCTTTGTCATTATGTAGATCCCCAAGACACACAGCCAGGACTCCCCAGCATCCCCCACCTCCTGAGTCAAGCCTAAAAATTGGCCTTTGAAGAGGGCTGGGGTTGCTGCGCAGTGGTAGGTGCTGCCTAGCATGAGTGAGTGAGGCTCTGGGTTCCTTCCCCAGAACCTCAAAACACAACACAACAAAACAAAAAACAAAAATTGCTCTATAAGGTCTGTGTAAGGAGGAAATCCTCTGGGGAGGAACAAAGATCAGTCAAGTTCAAGGCAAAATTACCACCATACAAGTATTGAAACAGAGTTAAAACATCTAACTCAGTAGCTCTGTACTAGAAATCAAATTTGCTCAAGCTGCTTTCTCTGGGAGAAGGAACACAGACACTTGAAAACAAACAAACTGGTTTCAATGACTCTGGCCGGTGAGGCTGAGGTTAAATGCTGACGGGCTTCCTTTTAAAAACGAGTTTCTCAAATGCAAAATGACTTACTTTGGAAGAACAAGCTGTACATTTGTCAAACGCCAGGCTGACAGGAAGGACATTATCAAACCGTGACAGAAATCCCCGGATCTAAAAACAAACAAAATAGAACATTTCATATCACGCATGGAATGACCACGTCTGTGAAAATTCATGTCTGGGGTCTGAAAAAAGAGGGGGAAATGATGGCTGTGGCCGTTCTGACAGATTACTAGCAAAAATGGAGCTCAACCTGAGTATTTTCCCTGGTAATGTAATCGGTATGGGGAAGAAATACTGTGGGTCCTTTATTAGGAACCAGGGCCTACAGCTTTTCAAATATTTGAGACCTAAAACCAAATTTGAGTCTATGATATAAAAGCACACTGTAACATCTAAAGTACTGTTTTTATAAATGCCTTCAAAAATAGGTAAGTGCTGGGGGAATGTAGCTCAGTGGTCGTTTGCCTTGCATACGCAAGGCCCCATGTTCCACCTCCAGCACCGCAAAACAAACAGAAAAGTGCATCAACTCTGTTACTGTGATTCAGGTCTCCCACAGAGACCACGGGCCAGTGTGCATGTCCACACTGCTGTACTGGTGGGGCCCTGTAAGGCAGCAGGCTTGGACATTGCACCGAAGGCCCAGGGTCCCAGGCAGGTCCTGTTACTCGGTGGAGGCAGGGCACAGGAAGTAAAGTAACCCAGCAGCGACTGGTGAGGAAACAGCGCCACCTCGCGCACGAGCTTATCACTGCACCAGATGCACATTTTGATGTCCTCTCAGCCAGGTTCTGCCCAAGCTGGACTGAGGTCACCTGTACTAGTTACATCTTCACAACTGGAGCAACGCCACAAGGGGCGTTTCCATCTGTTGCTATATGAATGCTTAACATACCGTTACCTGAAACGCTAACGGTAATCTCTAGTCTCCCCAGGAAGCAACATTGTTAATGAGGCTGACAACACACCTCTTCTCATGAATTCATTGGCTGGATTTTCCAGCACAGTTCACAAAACTCAGGCTGGCAAAGCTGAAGCACCTCGGCTCAGGTAAACGGTGACAGCAAAGATTCAGAAATTGACCTGGTGACTCCAAACCTGCTCCAGTGTGGTTTTGAAGTAGGCTAGCAGCCTTGCTCTACCCTCTTGGACATCAGAGCTTTTGTGTTTAGCATTAGGTCTCCTCAGTTTACCATGGGTGCTGGAGATGGCACCAGGGCCACTGGCATGCTGAGTACACACCCAGCCCTCAGAGCTACTCCAGCACCCTCTTGCCCTTCCAGCTTCCCAACACCCATCCCCAAAGCCACAGAGCCTGGCAGAGCCTTCAGGGAAGGGAAGAACTTCACCTTTATCCCATGCCGTGCCTACAGGCTAACTGAAGGTGAGCCCCTCTCTCTGGAAAATCTAACCTTGAAGAAAATGCCAATGGTAATTTCTCAAATGTCCCTATTCACATGCTGTGATTTCACTGTAAACCTAGATCAAAGGAGTGTTTGGTAGAAATGATAAATCAGGTAAAGGGGATAAAGACAACCTCCTTGCGAACCATGAAAATGTGCTGTTTTAGGGTCCTGTATCTTAGACATGTGGCGACTTTTTTATGTAAGGCACAATCAGTGTCAGTGTGAGTATGCTACTCACAACACCAAAACAGGAGACATGGAAATGGCACAAAAGACTTTAATGGGAAAAGTCCAAGGGGGCTGCTGAGATCCTTATGAGCTCCGCAAGTTCTAGGCTTGAAAGAGTGCATGGTGAGCCTAACATTTCTTTTACTAAAAAAAACCCCTCCATTTCTAGCAATTTCCTGCTAAAATTTATCACAGCCTGCACATTAATGTCTACACACACACACAAACTGAAAAGGTTCCCAAGGTCTATTTCCTGTTGTGTAGCTCCTACTAAACTTTCTTTCTGCTGTACAAGGAATATGGGTGGTGTTCTCTGCTAAGCTGTCTTACGATTGGAATAGAGCTAAAGGGAAGGGAAGGAGTAGACCTAGTCAGAAGCTGAGAAAGGAGAGGAAAAAAAAAGAGAGAAAACAAGCAACAACCACAACAGAAACACAAACGTGCTTTCTTGGGAAGTGGAGAGCCATGTCTGTGTGCAAGGACTCCAAGCCCACCAAAGTGGCTACCAGAAGGCTGGGACAAAACCACAGTATTCCCAAGTGTAGATGGTTCGGAAGGAAACTCTTGTCAAACCACCCGCAGAGTACCACATCTGTATGCGCTCTCCTTCCCTGGCACACAGCTCTGCCATGCGTGAGTCTTCCTGCCACAGAGCACTGTGGTTTCCTGGAGCAGCCCAAGGACAGCAGGGAGTTCTTCCACTGGCCCTGCAGGTCCCTGGGTCACCCTGCCTTCCAGTGGGGTCTTGGATTGAATCTTTCCCAGCTCTTGCACCACACCACTGCCCTGCGCTACCACCTCCCTCCCAGAAACAAGCCTGACTCTCTGCCCTGCTCCAGGTGAAACCGACTGAATTCTTCGTGTGTCTAAGCCTGGCTCTTCCAAAAGAGCCACTTGGCTCCAGCACACTTGGTTATCACCAATCTTCGAGCCACCTACTGGTCTACCTGGCAATACTATCGCCCTCCCCTCAAATCCTTTTTCTCTTTTGGTCTTTATGCCTACAATATGATTTTAAAAATCAGCACCAGGGTTATTCACCCATAACTCCAGCTATTCAGGAGGCTCTGAGGCAAGAAGACCACGAGTCCCACCGGGGTGACTCGGACCCTGCCTTAAAACACAAACTGCAAAGGCTGGGCGTGCCACTAAGGGGAAGGCCCTGTTAATCCCAGTACAGGGGAAGGGGAGCAAAATCAACAACAGGTGACTGAGGTGACTCATATGTCAAACACTCATCCTTCACAGTGTACAATTCCGTGCTCTTTCAGCGTATTTACAGTGGTGCACCCATCACCATTATCTGATTTCTAAGCTTTTCCTCACCCCAAGAATCCCAGAACCCTAAAGCACCTAGTGTTCATTTAAATCTCTTGGTAGATGCTGGCCACCACTAGCCCGCTATTTCCTTTCACTTATCTATTATATTCCACGTAAATGGAACTGTACACAATTTAGATCCATGCTGTAAAGCACATCAGTGTATCATTCATTATTATTGCCACATGGTATTCAGTTTGATGGATTCGCTGTTTATCCGTTCCTCAGGACAGGGTCACTTCTCTTGGGCACACAATGAAGAGTGGAATGTTTGTACTCCGAAGAGCCGCCAAGCTGCTTTCCAAACGGACCACGCCGTAACACATCCCCACTGGCCTAGTGTGAGGGTTCCAGTTCTTCCCACTTTTTGTCGATCCTTGTGTGTCTCTCTTCTAATGTGGCTACCCTAGTGAGTCTGATGTGGTATCTCACCGACTTGCACTTGTATTTCCCGAAAGACTGGTAATGTCAAATGTATTTCTATGTGCTTCCTGACCATTTGTGTATTTTCTTTAGAGAATGTCTATTCAAATCATCAACCAAGTTTTAAGTTTGGTTGTCTTTTATTTTTTGCAGTACTGGGGTTGAGCCCAGGACCTTGCACATGCTGGGCAAGCACTCACCACTGAGCTACATCCCCAGCTCACCTGCCCATCTGTCCGTGTGATGGCTGATCGTGTCAGCTTGAGTAAGTAACACCCAACTAAACTGGCTCAGCATCGTCCTGGGACTATGCATGGAAGATCCACACTAGGCAGGATTGTCTCCAGAATGCTAGAAAGGAAGACAAAGAAGGAAGGATCGCTTGTTTCTTTCAGAGGAACTCCAGTCTTCACTTTCACTTTGGGTGATCCTCCTTCCTGGCTTCTCCAAACTTCTGAGGTCTCCACGGCACCTTCAGTTTCACACTCAGAGCTTCACACACTGCCTCTCAGGAGTACACTGCCCAGTCGCCAGGCCTCCTTCTGAAACCTGGGTGGAAGATTCCTGACCCCACAACTCTCGCATTCTGCCTGCTCCCAAAACCAGCTCCACGTGGACAGTGCCAAGGTCTGCCGGCAGCTGGAGCAGGAGCCAGGCTTCCTGCTCTCTTGGCTGTAGGGGTCCAGGGCCTATGAACCAAATCCCGAGCAACAACTTCCCTAGGACGCCGCCACTCTGGAACAGGGGAAAAGGCACCTATTGGACCCACCGTGAGTTGGCCTTTGCTAAAACTCCCCTGATCACCTCACCTCCTTAGGCCCCTCCTCTTACTGGAGGCCACAGTGACAGTCTGGACCCCATGGAACCAGCCTTAGTTCAGAACCAGTGTCTAGTAGTACCCAAAGTACCTGATCCTTTCTCTTCCCCCGGTGTATAGTCACTCGGCAAAAGGCCTTAGGTCCCTCCGGGAAGGATGGGAGAAAGAGGGACTATATAAATTTTTGGTCCACCAGGATCCTTCCCCCAGGATACCCAGCCTCCATATTTCCTTTTTTTTTTTTTTCCATCATTGAGTTTATTGGTACATTTTAGGTATACAGTACAGTCACATTCATTACTGGGATCTTGCACCTTTACATGACAGGTGGTTCTCATTTTTTTCCCGTCTCTGCTCTTCCTTTACCCCCCCACCCCATTTACAAACACTTTATTTCCATTTTTTCATTTTTCATTCAAGGAGTTCTGGGCGTGTTAAACTGGCTCAAATTTGGGAACTGCTTGAGCGGCATTACTATGATTTAAAGTAGGTTTCTGATCATTTGCCCTTAAATTTTTCCAATTATATAAATTTAGTAAAAATTTTGTAGGCTTCCTATCAATTTCACTTTTGGGAACAAAAATGTGGCTGATCAGCCAATGCCACAGGTATATACGTGTCAGATTATTCTGGTCACTGTTCTGCTTTTGCTGTCATTACTGTAGGTGCATGCGTCCTGCTTTTGGCGATGAGGTGCTGTCACTTGACCTCTGCCACTCCAGTCAAGCCCACTGCCCTTAAATTTCCCCACTGAGTAACCTCCAACCCCACTGTAAGGTCTGGCATATTCAGAGAAAAGCAGTGACGGGGTTCTTCAGGGATGCTGGAGCTCCCCGCACAAGCTTGTTTCTCAAGGTGTTAGTGAAGGGTACATTTTCTTTATTTATTAATTTTTTTGGTACCGGGGACCAAAC